CAATAGTCCTTATCAAAAGATCATCGACACTATTTGAGCAATAAAAATTTACATTTTAATGCGTTTACATGATGATAACACATAAAATCGTGTGCAAAAATTATTTTCATGTTCGTTATTTTCCTCTGCCTCGTTTATTTCGTTTTACATTTAAGTGAATTTGGCAAATAGTTTAATTTCAATAACTTCCTTTTCTAGTAATGGAATAATATGTAGCCAATACAAAGTATTATTTTTGAAGAGTGTGGTTATATATTGTACAAATACAACCCCAAATAGAAATACTGTTTCTTCTAAAGCCAAGTTAGATAAAGGTGCAGCTTTAATGGCTTAATAAAAAAAGAGTAAACGTTCCTGAGCACTTCCAGGCAACAGTCTCCAACCACGTTTTATGTTTAAATATTGCACAATTGCTCGTGCACAAATCAGTACTCCTGTAATTCAAATACATTCTATTAGTTTCATACGACCAATGCTGTATGTGTTATCATTAGCATTATACAAAAAGATACAAACCAAATCCCATTATCAACCACCACAGCCATGAATTTTCATGAGAGGCAAGGTCAGTGGAATGTTTCACGATCAATGTCCATTTTGTCAATGATAAGCCAAAACCAGACAGTGCTCCATATCGAGATGCAATTGTGTGACAGAAGCACATCAAAAGCAAAAATCCGATCCAATTGAATAAAAATGCAACTGTAACAGATATGGAACAATGTATTGAAGGCAATAACTTGTACGGTAAATGCGAATTGTAACTTACCCAAAAATGCTGTAAAGAACATAAAATCAGTACCAAGCAATCCACTTTCTGGATCTCCTTCTGCAGCTTCGGTGTCTATAGCAAGGATTGTTAATGGTTGCTGTGGTGCTCTAATATTCCCAGGCTATGAAAAGAGCATAAAACAAATAATTTTATGTTAATAGATTCTATCGACAGATGCGACCATATTAAAGTACCATGTGTATTTGAGGATGGGGTTCTCCCTGTAAAGTTTTTTCACGTTGTACTTCCTCGTAACTGGGCAATTTGGTAGCTACTTCATAAGGAGGAGGAGCTGAAAAATCTGCTTTGGGCGGTGGTATTTCTTCCCCGTCAGCCTAGAAATAACAATTAATAAGTATCCATATATTCTACAGTGCTTTACAAAAATGAATCATACCATTCTACATTCAAGTGAAGTTTGTGCTGCAGCAATGTTTCCTGAGTGACTCATTATGTCATTCTGCATAACAGGTAATGAAACAGTTAAAGTAGGTATCTCATTTGGACACGACGGTTCCCCGTTGGAATCATTGTTTGTCTGTGGCGGCTGAAATATAATGGCAAATACTTGTTTTGACAATGAATCAGTAACATCAATCTCTGAAACTACTTGGTAAGGATGTGCTTCATCTAGATCTACCAGAAGTTCTACATCATGGTTATACAATGCTCAGGTGATTAAAACAATATAATGAAGTGTAACAATGTTTTATTCAATTTCTCGTATAAGATCGCATTTAAATGAACAATTGATAATCAATTGGAACAATGTCTTTTGGAGTCTTGTTTGTGAATGCATGTGCACGATTTACGTCATATTGTATGATAATATCATTTTGTACGTGTACAGTACGTTTATCAAACAAAAGATGCTCCTGGCAGTCGACAACGGATTGTAAACCAATCAGTAGTCTTCAAAATATTAGATACGAAAATTATATGTCGTGATCGGTGCTGTTTGTGGGACATACCATATTGTAACGAATATTATTATCCATTCTTCACACAAAATACTGTGAAAACTACTGTGGAAAATGCTGTTTTTATACGTAACGTTGCTCTCTAAGCCAGCAAAAGTTCTTACAATCGATGGCTGACAGCTGGCTAGGCTGTACCGTCGTGGAGGTAGTCCTCGTCACAATGTCACGTCTATTATTTTTATTGCTTGTCGCAAGCGATACATATTTATAATTAACAAACAACAATAGGCTCCCAACAATACATTAAATGCTATATTTTCCGTGTAATAATTTATATATTTAAATTAAATTTGATGTAATAGATACAAAGATTGAACTGCAAGATGAACGCCTATTGGCTATCAGCGATTCATCGTTGTAAACCAGGTCGTAGGACGGGAGTTTAACGAACCGGAATCTTCCTGTGCCGGAAATACAAGATTCCGAATTACCGATTATTCGATATCACAACTTTTATAAGATATGTCGCGCTTTATTCGATTAACAAACGCACATATATATTTAAGAGCGTTGCTTTTCAGAATAAAAATGTAAACGATGAAAAGGGACGCTCGCTTGAGTCACGTGCTTTGGTGGGGGTAATTTGGATCACGTCGTCATGCACAAACGACGCTCTACTAGTCAGTCAGTCGCTTGCCGATCGTGACACGAGTCAGAGAGTTTTGTAATGTCGGAGGTATTCAAACTGGGTGATTTAGTATGGTGCGTACCTGCAATGTGTTGATTATTGAATGCTTCTGATAGAAGTAGTGTGACCGATATGCCAGTGATTACTAATCGATGTCTTTATGGATTTCAGGGCGAAGATGAAGGGATTTTCGCCTTGGCCTGGCCGGGTAAGTACGAGTTGACTGCTAACGGTTCCGCGTTAACTACACTTTGCTTGACTGTACGCGCCACGAAGTCAAACGCGGCCATCATATTTGGCGGGAACGTGTTCCGCATAGATTCCTAGCTTCTTTTTCGAATTCCACGTTCCTTAATCGCGAACGAATCCGTAATTTACTCTTATCAACACCACTGTTAGCCCGCATTGCATATCTCCCGCCACACCCGACCTTCGAATTCAAATTGGCGCGCAGGCTACGAAAATATAACCTAAATTACGTTCCGCGATTTCATAACTTTTGCCACGATGTTCCGAAATGGAGTAAAACTTTTATGTTTACATTATGTATTTTTAAATTCGAAATACCTTCTTTATTTCTCTTTGAGAAACGAACAAGTAGCAATTTCGGTGTCGTTTTCGAATTAATAAACTAAGTAGACGTTGAAGATAATTCGCGCGGTAACTACGATTTGCTTTCTACGCGAATAAGTACGGATCGAATGTTTTTATGTAATTATCATGATCTGTCTGCTAGATTTCTTTTCTTAATAGAATGATTAACGCGATAACAGAAACCGGAAACATCAAATGTTCGAATTAATATATGGAGTTTTATTTTATAAAAGTTATATTTGTACCTTTTGAAATAGAGAAACACCAAAGTGTTTTTAAAATGGAGTACATATAATATAGGATGTTTATTTGTAAAAAATATGATCGTTATACATTTATTTTTTAAATGTATTGCTGTTTTTTCACATTACTTTTTCTTTTATTGAAAAAGTATATTCAGAAATAAAATATATTAACTTCCTCATGACATCTTAAGGTGTCAAATCCTTCAAAGGACTTAAAGAAACCAACGAATACTAAGAAGGGGCCAGTTCAATGTATATTCTTCTTTGGAACAAATAATTAGTAAGTTTGAATAATGTATTTCAGCTTACACGTTTATTGCTACTTAAACTTACTGTAATATTTCTTATAGCGCATGGATAGAGGAATCCAATATAAAACCATATCTTGAATACAAAGAGACTCTTATAAAATCTAGTAAAGCTGGTGCATTTAAAGATGCAGTAGAGGCAATAGAAGAGTTTATTGCCAATGGAGAGGTAAGTTATTTAACGATAAACATATAATAGATTTTGTATATGTTTACCTAACTATTATGAAAGATCAGATTTGGAAATAAAATTCTCACAATTCATACTTCTTTTTACTTATAACATAAAATACAAATAAATTGCTAAGCTCATGATTTCTAAATAAAATAAATTTTACTATGTAGCAATGTTATTTGCTTCAGGTGTTTGAGGATGGCTTAGATCCTGACTCCTTATTTGACAGACTTAAAGAAGAGAGTATGTCTAAGGAGAAGAGCGTAGTAAAGACTCCTAAGCCTCGTAAGGTTAGGTTCATATTATAAATCACAATTTGTTATCATTGTTGTTTACATTAGAAAACCAGCTCAATTGTACATACCTTCGTATATAATACAAAATAAATATGAAATTGTTGATTCAGGAAACACCAAAAACAAAAAGACTGGACACCAGTACAAGTGATGCTCGCCGTCCAGCTAAAAAGCAGCGTAGAGAATCGAATACAAGTAACAGTAATAGAGTAGGCAGCATCAGTCCTGCAATGAACCATTCAACATCACTTAGGAAATCAGGATCAACACTCCTTAATAGGCCTGCAAATATTGCCAGACCTGTAAGTACATTTTACATATTATTATTATTTTCTATTCGTAATGTAAAAAATAAAGTAACACCGTTTAAATTACCAGCTACAAAATATTTTTTGTTATTGTCGTTTTTTTTCTGCCCAGAGTTAACTTGATTCCTATTACAACGTTTGTTTATGAATAAAATTCTTTTGAACATTTGTCTTGAATCATCAAATAAATAGGAGATTACTTAGTAGATATCTTTTCTAATATTACATTTTTTTTATCTCAACTTGGAGTATGTTCTGATTAGTATCATATGCATGAACATAGCTACAGATCTTATGGATATGATTGACTGAATAAAATATTTATCATGCCCTTTAGTATTTGTGGAAATATACGTCCAAACATTCCACTTGGTTGTTTACAAAAATTACATAAATTAAATTCAATTAATTTCATTATAAAAAAATATGTGGAATGGAATTAATTTCACACAATTTTTTTTTTACAATTAATACAGTTTAAGAGTATTAAATTTCTATTGCAAATATTCGTTCATACATGTTGATCTTATTTCTATGTACGATTAATATATTGAATACTTAATTTTTGAGACTCTTCCACAAAAATAATATGAAAGGTACACAATTATAAAGTTCCTATCCTATTAAAAGAAATTGCATCTTTTTCTGTGTTGTATAACGTACACAAAACATACGATCGTTCTTTTATTTTTTTCACGTACATTTTATTTCATTGCTGTTAATGTCGCGTGTTTCTTAATTCATGATTGATCAAATTTAAAACAAAATCGGTCAGATTTTTCAGAGAATGTATTGTTAATATCTTGCAACCTTGCACGGCAGGTGACACCGCCTTTAGATGTGGAAACGTTGTCGCAAACCCTTAAAGAGAAAAACATCCTTCCGTCGACCTTGAAATTTGGGTTCCTTGGTTTGGGTATCATGGGTAGCGGCATCGTAAAAAACCTGATCAACAGTGGGCACAGCGTAATTGTGTGGAATCGGACGCAAGAGAAGGTATGTACGACACTTTTGTTTATTACTTAATACAACGATTAATAATAATTGTATGCGACTGCAATATGCGAATAGTGTATCATAGAGAACACTGTCGTCCATTCATATTTTACTCAGGAGACAAGATTTATACTATCTATCACATGCCAGTAACATCATTTGGTTGCCATATTATTCTCCTCTGACATAGTTACAGTCTACATCCGAATAATTGAAGAAAAAAAAGAAAGAATAACAAATTATTTAATCTATCCGTGTCAGTTACGCTTTACTCAATTTCTCGATAATTTACCGATCACTGATTATGGATATAAAAATGAAATAAAAATGGAAACACGAGTGTAAAATCTTTTACACGAAGGTGGCGCAACTAGCTTCATTATCATCTTGCCGTTGCTCCGTCAGCAAGAGCAGCAGCACGGCCGCGTTTCGTTTCTTCATCAACGCGTTTCGTCCCCTCGTTAAACGACGTTAATGATCCGCGGCAATTTCTTGCTCCGTTTTTTAAACAATTCCTCCGAATATGACTATGGAAGGGTGGGACGAATGAAATACAGATTGTTAAAGAAACCCGTTTATTAATTTGTCCTGTAAATTGAGCATGTATTCAAATGTCTCTGTCGGAAATCATAATTGATCGAGGGGCTTGGGAGGGGGGTGGAGGGTGGAAGGTTTGAAAGATCTGAAAGGTCCTGCGGCAGGGCCGTGCGCTGCCATTTGAATTGTAAAATCATTCAACGACTTTGCCCTGTGAACGTCTTGCGCGCTCGCAGATACGGATCTGTTTCGGAGTTTCGGGGGGTTCTACTGCAGAAAATCCGTGATCTACATGTCGATCGTGTGTGTCCATGATTTTCCACCTCCCGATAGAGGAACAGAAATAGAAAGATCGCTTGCGCGTACAGAAAGGACGCTCGAATTTACCATAACGGGGACATTGCTTCTACAAAAATAAAATCGTGCAGGATGGGCCAGAAGTTAGCGCCCTACTTTTTGTTCTTTTAGCATTTCAATTCCCTATAAATTGAACCGTGGTTCGAAAACAAGTTCTTTTCCGTGTAATTATGCGACTCTACTTTTGACCCACCCTATACACGACGACGGGCCATTATTGGTGATACGACCGACAGGGATGATTCTCCAAAGAAATAGGAAGTTTGCTCGCGCTTGGTTCTGTTTCGAGAAAATCTAATTTGAATATTCCTTTTGACTCGCAAGCATCGAATCAGATTATAGCAACGCGCCAGATGGTTGCGCATGATTTCTTCGTTTCTTTTTTTCGGCGGATGGCAGCCTCTCGAATACAGGAGACCCGTTACTGAAGATTTTAGCTTCGACTCTTTTGACTCGTTTTCGAAAACGAGGAATTATCCCCGCGAGACGCATCATCGATAATTAATCACCCTGTATATACAGTCGCTCGCGGAAGAGCTTGAACAAGCCACTGGGATACAATGAAGCGGTTTTCTCAAAAGCCGGGTCTAACAATTTTATTTATCCTAGCGTACATTTAGCCTTTGTTCGCCGTGTCAGTATCTACAGATATTGTTAAACTGCAATTATTCAGTTACGGGGGAGATCTGTACAATCGATTCCGTTCTACGTTCGAAGTTTTTTTGACTCGCTAAATCGGTACAGGATTTTTTTGTCCGTTAATAAATACACATCGTTAAATGCAATACAGCATGATCGAATGAACAGGTCGACGAAGGGTTCATGCTTTTTCATTAAAAAGTTCCGCGAAGTTCTACGGGGTGAACGATTGAAACCAGAGCACCGAACCACTCCACGGTTAGATAAACATCATTTTGAACACTTGGATTTTGTTGTTGCAATTGTTTCGACTTGAATCATTTGTCTGAGCAGCTGACATGCGAACATCACAGCGATTAGTTCTCTGGTAGAGACGCGATTGTTGATAGGATCTGGCGGCTCAGCCTGTTAATCGAGCAGGACGAGTTAACTCGTCGGTGACTTTTCATTGCGTTCTCTTCCCTCGGATTTAATGACACTTATCTCGCAAGGGACTGGTTCGAACAAAAATTCGTCGATTAACAGGTTGAACGCGAACTTTCCTCCATTTCATGCGGCTCATACAGATACGCGAGCGACTGCATTCTGAAACTCTTATTTGAGCCGTCCGAAACAGGCCCGAAACAGTGGGTCCTCTAGACCAACGCGAATACTTTACAATGGAATTGAATTGTCGGAAAAGTTTCTCAGCTTTTACAATTGTTAATCGCGACCTCCGTTTTCAAATACTGCCGCTGCATAATTGAATACGCCATTTTAACGAGCGATCTTTCGCCATTTTACTGTGCCACGTAGAATTTCTGATCCCGGTCAACAGTAGACCCCACGGACCCCCGTAACTGCGCTATTTTGCATTAGTTATTGATTAAAAAATATCCGAAATTTCATTTTATAAAATATAAACATGATTCATTTAATTCGCGAAAGTTTTGTTCATTGTATCTGCTCTAACAAAGAAAAAAAAATGACAAAACTAACGAGGCTATATTCATATTCCGCGAGATTTTAATTAATTATCGGTACTAATTTCTCACAAAAGCATTCCCATAATCTCGACAGGCGCGAAAAGTTCGGCGGCCGCCATCTTGTCGGCCCAGAAATTCTAATGTCGAGGAACTCGAAACTCTTGAGACTTCTCCGTCAATTCGATGTATATTAATTAACTAAAAACAGGAGTTCCGTAGAACGCCTGTGACGCGTTCGCGGAATGAGCGGTTCGAGTCCGTCGCGACCGGGGCCCTATGGGGTCCACATGGGGGCTCGTGGGACTCTCGGAGAAGTAGTGACTACGGAAAGCATTCGAAGCGCCGCGACTAATCGGTGCTTATCGCATAGAGGAACTTCAGATCACCGACAAAAATTGTTATGCGGCTCGAGTAGTAGTATTCTAACGTAACAAAATATAGTGCACGGGCTCTCGATAGCGCGCGCGAGCACATCAGGGTTCGTCTTTCTGACGAACTGCGCGCGGTATTTCAGCTCGCTGCCAACTCCTGGCGAGCTGATAAAGTACGTCTGTCGCCGGCTAACTCATTTACCTAACAGCGGTAACGACCGTTTAACGGTAACGATTAATCGCGCGGTCCGATTCGAGGATCATTTCGAGCAACCATTAGACAGGATTATCGGTGAACGAACGCTTCCAGATAGCCTATAGTTTCCTAACAAGGGTCTAGGAGGTCGTCAGAATTTTCGGCAATTATCGTTTATTTTCAATTCGAATTTTGAACGGACGGGGGTAGGAGTCATTTCGACCCTTCGTGCAAAATAGACCTTTTCTTTATGAATTGCGACGAACCCTGGCCAGGTAAAAATTTCTTTCTTGAACGATTTCAATGAGTTCTCTCAATCAGTTTACTATATCAAATTTTACGCATTTATTATTCCTTTTATAAGTGGCAATTTATGTGGCAATGCGAGGTTTTTACAATTATAGTGCTGGACTTTCAGCCGAGGACGATAACTAGATTGCTTTTAAGAACTTTCATGTTTTTTATTCAACGAACAATTCCTTCGTTTTATCGAATAGACATTGGTGTACTCTGTATTCTATTTAAGTGGATCGTGATCTTTATGACATCAGTTTTATTTGTCTCGCGTTCGGTCTTCGCGTGTGTTCGTAATTGATAAGCCGCTCGTTCGAGGATTAAAATGAAATAATTACGGTATTCGAGATTTCGAGGACTGATTCGACGCATCGGAACGGCGGCGTCGATGAAACAAAATACCGATAGGGTTGTCACGAGCCAGACAAGTTGGGAAACTATGGGCTAATCCGTCGTTTGGCATGATTCCGGTCGGCCGACCTTCCGAAGCCTAATTAACCATCGCTAGACGGACGCTTTCGACGGTTTTGTGGCAGCCATCGGTAGACTTATCCAAATTCTTACACACCGCTAAGTTTCTCTCTCGCATATTCTTGACAAGTAGCGAACAATTTAAACCGGCTGTTTGATCCAGATTACGTATCCGGTCAAAATGGACCCAAGCCGCGTCTCCCGCAGGTTTTTCTAAGCGTCGTCGGGTTTCGCTCCGGATGCCGTTTATTATCGATCGATGATGCAGTGGTTCTTAATCTTTCGAATTTTGCAAATGCATCGGAATGCCGCTCCCAGGTTCGCCTAAGAAATCGACGCGTCTCGCTCTCTGAAACGATGTAAGAAAAATTGATATTACAACAAAGAGCAGTTGCTCCCGGCGATGATTCTTAATCCCTTGCACTACAATTTCTTTCACAATTGCGCCGATTAGCGCTTCTTCGTTTCTTTTTGTTTCTCGTATACTTTCATCGATTTATGTTCCTAGATTCTTCTAACAAAACCGCGGATCTTTATGCGATATCAACGTTTTCCAAGACGATCGTAAAAAGCAGAAATCATCAAATAAAAATACATTGTTTCCTTCAATAGTCTCGTCAAGTTCAAAATACTGTAACAGCATTATTAAATTCTTCTTACGTCCTCATAATTTTCATATCCTCAATTTTGCCATAAACGCATAAAATCCACAGTCTACCGCTTACAGACGAATCACGATTTTCCTTTCGATTTAGAAGAAACGTAGTAACATTCGCATTTAGCGGATCACAGATAAAAAAGTCACGAGTCCGACTCGTTGTTACGATGCAAGGGATTAAAAAGAAAAAAGATGCATGTACATCCTTTTGACATTTTGAGAGCCACTGTGTCATTTGAGCGAGGGTCTCGCGGCTTTTACCCGGCATCGACTCCTGCGTCAGTGAAATTTGAGGAAAACCGTCGAGCGCGGGAACGCGTTCTTTTCTTTTACTTTTTTAAGCATTCTCGATGCCTCCGCAAGCACGTATCGCGAATTACGATCGCGTGGCGAACCGATACGATTGAAACGGAACAACTAAGGAAGCAAAAAGTCGCTGTTTTCGTCTCCGATCGATAACATAAATCCAAGCCTCTCTCCGAGCTTTAGCGTCTCCGAAACGATTGCCATAACTCGACCGCGTCAAATTTCGAATTGAAACATCGATCCAACGGACTACTCAAGAATAGCCGCAGTCAGAATCTAGGCATCGCAGAGGCGTTTCGAACTATCGATTGCCGGTAGCTTGTGCAGAACGAAACCGCCGCCTCGTCTCAACGGCGAGTTATCATAAATTAAACCGTCGACCTTGCGCGCGTACAAGTTCGCGAGGCGTATACTTGGTATTAACGACAGGGCGAGCTCTAGCGAATGCAATACTATTATAAAAAAAAAGAAAGGAGTTTCTTTCGCCGGCTCGGGCTAGCGTAGCATCCGCTTCAGCGTTTTAAGAATAGGCTGCTTTACATAGCGGTAGGCGGCTAGGTCCCTCGGCTTCTGTCGCCGCGATAACATTTCTTCACCCAAACCTTTGTTTACGGCGCCCGCGAGTTGGCTCTCGCCGATCCTGACGATAGGCGACGCGACGGCGAACGCAGCGGTGAAAAATCATTTTGGCTTCTTTAATTCGATTCGATCGGCGACCGCGCGAAAGAGATTCAAACTTCGCTTCGTGGTCCCACGGGATCAGCTACCTTGCACTGGCGTTATTCCCGGGAATATCGACGTGGCGAGACAAGCGAACGCTTCGGGATCGTAAAAGGAGCGGCCTCTGCCGTTTCCAGTCTTCCTGCAACAAGCTGGTCTTCGACGATGCGTTCTCGAAGTTGCTTCGACAGCGAACATTTCTTTACGATCGCGCGGCTTATCTCTCCGTATCATCGTTCTTGAGAATGACAATTGCGTAACGAGCTTTCTAACGGAACCTTGGAAAGAAACTGTTTCGCTATTTCAGGCACGGAGCTTAGTTTTTGAAACTGGTTCGGGGCGAACGAACGCGATCAGGTCCCAACTGTCGCCATATTTGTTCACACAGGCCCCATCGATCTCTCTTTAAGATCTCGCTAGGTCGCCCGCCTCCTATCTTCACCTCCGAGTATACATAAAAGCGTTCGAATCGATTCTCAACTCGCCTTCGGCGCTATTCCTTCTTCTATCTGTCGCTGGGATCTATACCGCCATCGATCAGTGCGCTCGACCTTCGGATCGGAAAACTTGTCTAAAACACGACCCCGGTGATGTGGTTTCTTCGACGCGCGACTGGCCCGTGTTTCCGCGGCGCGTAACGCCTCATTCCGAGTTTCGAGGGATGATAAAAGTTTATCTCTCCGAAGTCGCCGAAGCGATCCAAAAATAACGTCAACGACGCTACACGCGTTAAACTGCGTGCACACTGGCGATTCAGCCTGCGATCAAGCTTCGATAAGGGGGCAACGATCCTTCCTTAGATTCCGAATAGAACAGAATCGTAAAGCCACCGTTGTAGAGCATCGCGTTAATCTGAATTTGAATGTCCGCGATTTCTCATTTTATTTTACAAATTTGAATCTCTGCATTCGTTTTATTTTTATCGAAAATAAAACACCGAGCGAGCTCTGCGTTATCACGAATTTGAATCTCTGGAATTTCTCGTTTTATTTTTACTATTTTACGAATTTTAGTTTTAGTTTTATCGAAAATAAGACCGATCGAGTAGAATGCGTTAATTCGAATCTGAATCTCTGCAATATCTCGTTTTATTTTTACTATTTTACGAATTTGAATCTCTGCATTCGTTTTATTTTTATAAAAAATAAGACACCGATCGAGCTCTGCGTTAACATGAATTTGAATCTCTGGAATTTCTCGTTTTATTTTTATTATTTTACGTATTTGGATTACTGCGTTCGTTTTTGTTTTATTGAAAATAAAACACTGATCGAGTAGAATGCGTTAATTCGAATTTGAATCTCTGCAATTTCTCGTTTTATTTTTACTATTTTACGAATTTGAATTTCTGCATACATTTTATTTTTATAAAAAATAAGATCGAGCTCTGCGTTAACACGAATTTCTCCATTTCTCATCTTATTTTCATGAACAATTTACCCTATCAGAGTCATCGATACAGTTCCATCGTACTACCAAATTAATTTCTGTACCCCGATTTTATTTTCGCGACAAAATTACCGATCAGATTTTTAGGATTCTCTCGAACTAAGTAAGTCCACATACAACATTGTTGGTAGTACTATTATCGACTATGCTTTGAACAATTAAAACAGCGAATATATTTCAAAAATAACATTCGTACTCGAATCTAAAAGTTGGTAATTATATATATATTTTTTTAGAGAAGTCTAGTCAGCTCGTTATACGAAACATAAAATTGTTGTGGAAAGGAAAACTATTCTTCGTTGCACGTCGATTTGTTCGATATTCGAAGCGGCTCGTAAAAAATAAGGAGGAAATCGTTAAACATCGTTCCGGGTTCTCATCTGAACAGTTAATCTCGATGCAGCTGAGCGAGCCTTGGCAACGCGACGTGCATCGACGCTTCAATTTCCCAAAGCCGATGCATTTTCTAAAATTGAACGTAACTTTTTCGATCAAGTTCCTTGCCGGGTGTACTTTCGAAACAGCGTTTACAGGAGCACATCGAAGCACTATAAAACGATCGCGGGACAGATTATTCTGTTTCCTGCTTCTGGGTGAACGCGGTAACTCGCGGTGCTAAATAAAATGCATAGGCAACTGGATTCGTAGATAACTAGATTCGTGGTCAACCAGATCGAAATCTGCGGATCTCGGTGTGGACGCAGCTCGCGGTGTCGTCCAAGAGAGATTCGTGGAACGCAGAACTCGAAGGGAAATCGATGCTCGGAAATTCGAAACTTCGCAGTCGTGGGAGGATTCCACAGGTGTGAGCGGAGCTTTAGCAGTTCTCTCTCGCCTCGACGTCGCGTTTCGTCCGGGGGGGGACAGGGAAGAAGAGAAGAACGGGACAGGGAAAGGAGGGAAAATAGGAACAGGAGCGAGAAGAAAATCGGAAACTGCCGCGCGCTACGCAACGTGCTGAGCGCGCCGTTGCCTCGAATTCGAAGTTCCACGGATCGGGAAACGTAATTAGATCCGCGATTCTTCGCGGAAGCCGCGGGGGCACGCAGCGGTTGCTTTATGGGCCGTCGAGGATACGGGGGAAATCATTTGCGAAGCTAACATAATAATAGACGCCGTTTTTCTTCGATCCGGATGCAGAGACTCGGTTGTTCGCGATCGCTTCGAGACGGTATCCCCGGACAGACACCCCGAGCAATTCGATCTTTCTCTTCGTTTTCTCATCTTCCTGCCCGGATGCCGATCGGTAGGTGGCAAAAAGCCTGTTAATCGAACGTGCAAAGAAACTTGCGCCGCGTCCGCGGATTTCTTCCGCGGCAATTCGAAAATTCAATTAACCGGGCCGGGAAAATGTTTGACGATCAACCTCTTGCCTTGTACTATCTCTGACAGGATTTATGAAACGTACGATCAGTTTCTTTTACTGCGAGAAAATTGGTGAAAATAACCGAGCTTGCGTTCTTCGTTCGAAAATTGTTGAAAATATAACGACTCATTTAATAGGAAATGATGGAATACATTTTTTGAAATTCGAGCATAGCTTACACGATCAGACTTGTGTATTTTATGCAGTAATTGGCAAGAGTGTGTAGCTTCAATTAAAAACAGTAGATAGATGAAGAGAATTGAAAAATGTCATTGTATTATTTTTTCAATTTAACAGACTTATTCAAAAAAAGCAAACTGAACTTTCTATTCAGTAGTCTATTTCTCGCAGTTGATGTCTTTATTTTGCATAAAAATCCGCAGTCTACGTACGATAAAAAAAAAGTGACGGAGGTGGGGGGTCCAATTAAATTCAATCTCGATCGATGCTTATGAAGCAACACGAGTTGGTCTCTCATAAAATAAAATTACATCTCTTCGTCACGCGTATTCGATCCCCGGATAAAACGACTCGGCGCACAACGAACGTAAATCTTTGGCCAAGCGATTGTAAACGACAGTGAGTCGCTCGGAAAGGAAATCATAGGGCAAGGGATTAAAGTCCGAAAGTTAAGTAAAGCCGCGACTTCTCGATGAGAGAAAAATAACCGAGAAGCTCCGCGCAGCTGGGAAAACAGTCCAAAGATCCGGACCCGCGCGACCAAAGAAAAATGGAGCCGGTACGCGAACAGTAGAGACAATTACATAAGATTGGTTGATGTTTATACTGTATTTAGCGTTCCCATCGCACGCGATTACAATGATGAATAACCGCTCGCAAGTCGAAAAATAATTCGTCGGGAATCCGCGCGGCGACACCTGAGCGTCGTGTGCACACGTGTACGATGATATCGGTGTTCCACGCGCGCGTATCCGTCATTGCATGTATACGTGCGTGTCGTATTTTAATATACACGTAACATGCGCGTATATGTATAGACGACGGCGGAGTTCTCGCGGTGTAGCTCCGCGTATTTTATTTTCCGCCTGGTTTTAATCACAGAGAGATAAAGCGCCGCCAGGTCGGCGCAGATAATGCAAAACGAACGGGCCGAGTTCTCTCCTCTCCCTGCCGGATGAAAGTTTAAAGATTATCTGAGCGAGTTAAGCTATCGTCGGCCGGAACGAAACGCGCGAAGCGGAGCAAACGCGGCGTACGGCCGCGGCGGCGGCGTTGCTCTAGTTCGTTTCTGTTTCTAACGGGAACGCGCGGTAGACTTCTCTCTCTCTCTCGCTCGCTCGTCCTTTTTCTTTTTCCCGGCCTCGAAGGAATCCGCCGGAAAATCCTGTGCACTCGGTTTTCACCTCACGACTTTTCCATGCGACTCTTCTTCCTGCTCGTCCAGCGGTTATTGTAACAGCGGCGGGTACGAACGAACGCACGCACGCACGCAAATAGGTGGGGGAAAAGAAATCGTCCGCGCGCTCGATGGCTTAGGCTATCTAAACGATAAATTGCGGAGTCATTATCGTACCTTCGCGACGACGATTACCGCGATTAGAATATTCTTCTATTTAACGCCAGCGAATGGGTGGCTCATCCGCCAATCATCCCGTCCGAGCCTCCTCTTCACTTCGCGTCTAGCGGTCTACTCTCTTCGCGAAAATTTTCTACGAACGGTCTCTCTACCGTTCGACAAAGCGCTCTAACGGATTCTCGCGGGATCCCCGTCGGGATCGGAAACAGCCGAGATTCTCTCTATAGTCGCTAGATCGTTGGATATTTAAGTACGTGCTCCTCCGCAGAATGACGGTTCCACGAGTAGTGTTTTCTTTGTCTGTTTTTTTTTGTTCCTTTTGTTTTTTCATTTTGTAAATAATTATATATATATATATTTCTATCGTTCGAACAAGTTCCATTTTTCTCTTTTGCTAGACAGGAAACAGGTTTGAAAAAAGCGTGTGTCGAGGCTGCCCGGGCTACGTCGATATCGCGTATATGCGTGTTCGATGGGCGAGAGCGAAGGAAAGCGCAGAAATTCGAAAACGGAAACGACGGGACGTTGTACACGGTCGGTCGGTCGGTTTCCAAGAAGGTGTTTCAGGTGTGTATGTATTCGATCAGTCGGTTGTGTAAATCGTCGACGTCGTGTGGATCGCCGGGGTGGTCAGTCTTTCGCTCGGATGTCGCGCTCGCTCGATTTTTGTTTTACAGGAGGACAATAATCGGAGCCGTGGCCGTCTCGCGTCCTTGAAAAATTGACAACTAGACAATCTCGCTGCCGGTTCGAGCCTCGCGAGTCTGATTCACTTCGGCGACGTTGGCTCTCGTTATTTGGCAGTAACGCTACATCCTCTCGCGTCTCTCTCTCTCTCTTTCTCACGCAAACATTCTCTGTCTAGCTCACCCTCCCAGTTTCTCGTCGGTGGAAACCGTGTCGATCACTTTTTTGGATCTTTCTTGTTGGCGGACACGCGATAGAATTCGACTAAGAATCGGTAAGGCGGACAGGTTGCAAGGTCGGTAGAGGTCGGTCGGTCGGTCGGTCATGTATCACGGAAGAGTCCTTGGAAGCTGTCCGCGAATTTTTTTTTTGTCTGGATCGTGTCCTCGAGACGCGCGCGCGAGCGCAAGGTCACGAGAAGCAGCGTCGTCGTCAGTGGTTTTCACTCTCCTCCGATCTGATAACGGTACCGCCGATATCTCACTCTCTCTCTCTCTCTCTCTCTCTCTCACACACACTTTTCGGGTCGCGTATACGTCCACACTTACCGGGTGTAGAGGCACTTCTGTGTATGCGTGTGTACTGTCTCGCATTGTGATCCAACGTGGCAGTACGGATCCAAGATCCACGATCGTTTCGCGAAACAGTCTCTCTTTCTCTAGTCCGTCTCTCTCTCTGTTAGTACCCTCGAAAAGCACACACACACACCCGTCGCGTCGTCTAGAAGTGGCTCTAGAAGGGACCTAGAGCTTGGTCTCGCGCGGTAGGTCCGGCATGCTGGTGCTCGGCGCCAGCAGGTCCAAGGTCTCAGCCGGCTCTTTGGGCAGCAGGTCGGTGCTGAGACCCCGGAACACCGGCTTGATCTGGTCCGCGTCCCTGTAGACCGACAACGTGCTGCCGTTCTCCTCGATGCTGTGCAGCATCAGCTGATGCGGCGCCATGCCGTTCAGCAGAAGCGGAGGCGGCGGCCTGCTGTCCTCGATGTAGTTGATGTGAATCCCCTCGAGGATGTTGCCGCAGCCGTGCGGGCTCACCGAGGACAGCTCGGTCGGCGTGTAGTACTCGCTGTTTACGTCCTCCAGGCTGGCGGCGTTCGTCAAGTCGATGATCTTCGCCTTGAAGTACGCGTCCACCCGGACCGACGAGGTGTCCTCCTTACCGTCGAACACCATCGAGTCGCTCTTGCCGCAGCTGCCGCTGCGACAGTTGTCGAAGTAGAAGCTCGGCAGGTTCTCCAGGACCTTGTTCAACGTCTGTTGCTGGTACTTGTAGCTCTCGCGCAGCCTGAGCACCTGGTGCGCGCTGAACTTTCGGATCTTGTTGCGTTGGAAGACGTAGTTCTCTCGCACCCAGTTCAGCTGGCTGGTCGAGTAGTCCCGCGCTTTTCTCACCTGTTGCGAGGATAGAAAGTACAACGTTTCTTGAGACGTTCTTCGGAGGTGGTCGTGCGCGCGTGTGCGTGTGCGTGTAGTCTTTTTGTCTTTGAACGGGGGGGTTGGTTGGTCTTCCGGGTTGGATTTAGGAGATCTTGCTAGGACGTATGATCTAATTGTTAACGGTTTACCTGATCGTAATACTGATCTCTGAGCGCCGTGAGGTGGCTCGTCCCGTAGTCCCTTATGTCCCTGATATGCCTCATCTGACCTTCGTAGTTGTCGCGTATCCACTCGACCTGCTGCGCGCAGTTCTCCTTGATCCGGTGCACTTGCTGCGTGTAATTCTCGCGCAGCTTCTCCAGCTGCTGGCTCTTGTACTGCTCGATGCTGTCCAGCATCTGGTAGATTTGCTTAGCCCTGGGCGTGGCGCCGACTCGCCTGCAGCAGGAACACCACTTCAGGCAGCCGCACCTGCAACGAGGAGAGGAAGAGTCGATTCATCGGCCGATATTCGCAACGAACGCCGATTGCGAAATCAACGACAAAGGAGGAGAACGACGGATAAAGCGCGGACGCGTCGGTCACAGTGTCAAGTACGGCGGAAGAAGCGAGACGGATAGAGAAACAAACAGATGGATGGATGGATGGATGAAAGAAGCAAGCAAGCGCTCTCACCTGACGAGAATGTAGCGCAGCAGCTGCACCAGAAGCGTTAAAAGAAGAAAGATCGTGGCGCACGCGGCGCCGACCAGGATGCTGAGGATCTTGATTTTGTCTAACGTAATCGGATTCATCTGCAAACTAACATAGGTGGTCGCATTGGCGATCGGATTGACTGCGAAACACTTGTATTGTCCAACATCCTTCCTTAGCAAGGTCGTGATGTACAAAGATCCATTCTCGAGGATGCGAACGCGACCATCGTCAACGAACGGCAGGCTTTGTTCCCAGCAGTGCACGGGAGAATGTTCGACAAAAGCGTCTGGGAAAGCTGGATCTGGATTCCAGTGCAGTACCTGGAGCTTCGGCGTGACCCACGTTAGGGACGGCGTGGGATTGCCGTTGAACTCGCACTCGAGCAGCACCGGGTGCAACAATAGGTGCTGCTGAGCGGGCGTCTTGTACGCCAGCACCGGCGCCGTGCAGTTCAAGTAACGAAGCGTGTCAAAGATATCGCCGGCGACGTCGATCTCGTCGTCGCCGCAACGGAAACCGCTGCGGAACGCGGTCCGCAGGTGTTCCTTGCTCTCGGCCCATTTCACGAACCAGAACATGCGGCAGTCGCAGGCCCACGGGTTGCCGTGCAGCTGCAGCTCGGTCAGAGCGGCGAGCTGCGCGACGTTCGCCGGAAGAAAGGTCAGATTGCTGTCACGCAGATCGATCTTCCGTAGCGCCGGCGTGCGATCCAGGGCCCGCCTCGAGATCTCTCGCAGCGGGCTGCCGCTGATCTCCAGCGACTCCAGCTCGTCCAAGCCCTTCAGGTCGTCGTTCCGGAGGATCTCGAGTTTCGCGCCGGACAGCAGCAAGGTGCGCAGCTTCCGGACCGGCCGCCACACGTTCTCTGGAAGCACAGTGATCGGTAGATACTTGAGGCTGAGCCATCGCAGGTTCGTTAGACTGTGAAACGTCGCGCCGGACAGGCGAACGATCGGATTCCCGGCTAGGTCCAGCCGTTGCAGCGACGCGAGATCGGCGAATAGGCCGCGCGGTATCGTTTCTATCTCGTTGTTCGCCAGCTCCAGTATCTTGAGCTGCGTCAGGCCGGAGAACAAACGGGGCGGGAGCTTGGTGAGCCTGTTGCCGGACAGGTTCAGCTCCTTGAGCCGTATATTGGGCCTGAACGTGTGATCCGGCAGGGAGACCAACAGATTTCTGGACAGGTCCAGCCGCGCCAGCCCCTTCGACTGGCCAAACGTTTGAAACGGAAGCACCGGCAGACGATTACGTGACAGACCGATCACCTCGAGGCTCTCCAGATTCTGGAACAGCGCCCGAGATATCACGGTCAGCCGGTTGCCGGTGAGATTCAGGTACTGAAGTTGGCGCAACGGATGGAAGACGTCCGACGGCAGTTCCGCCAGCCTATTGTCACCTAGGTTCAGCAGCTCGAGGGACGTTGCCGCGCGAAACACGCCCGGCTCGAGCCGCTCGATCCCGCTCGATATCCAGACCAGGCTCTTCAGCCGTGTCGAAGATTCGAGAGCCACCACCGGTATGACCGCGGCACGGACGTTTCGCAGCGCGACGTTCACGGCCTGGCCCGGCAGCCCTAGCCCGAGGAAGCTTCGATCCGTGCATAACAAGCTGCTGCCGTCGTCCACGCACTCGCAACCCGTCGCACATTGTGCAGGACGCGACGGGGACGTCGTCGATTCCGGCGGACGATGCTGTTGTTCCTGCTGCTGCTGAAGAAGACGTAGATGATCTTGCGTGCCCGCGACCTGTACCGTTGTCAGCAGAACGATCATTGACCACCACCACGGATCCCACGCCGAAACCCGCTCCCTCATCCCTATGAGCTGTTACGTGACGATTTTCACGCATACAATCAACAACTCCCATGTCCTGATCACTGTGATCCTCGAGAGATCCCTAGACCGACGATTCTCTTTTCTTCCCGGTGACCTCTTTTTCTTCTTCTTCTTTTTCTTCTACTTCTTCTTCTTCTCGCTGGCAACTCTTCTCTAGTCCTGTTGCACTTTCACTCGTACACGCAGGTGTTACGTATCTTCCAGAGTCCTATACCACGTGGTTACCATCGGGAAACCGTGGCTCTACAAAACAGATCGATCGATTTTCCAAAAGGAACAAGAAACCTAGTCCTCTTTTGCCTTGGTTGCTACCTACCTACCGAGGATCAAAGCCGCGAGGCGCCGACACAGCGTCTCTCTCTCACTCTCTCTGTGTGTATGTGCCTGTATGTGTGTGTACGTGTGTCTGTTTGCGAGCGTGTGCGTGTCTCTCGACCGCGGACAATGGCGAGAGACACACCGCGCGATGGTCGCCGTCTTGTCCTCCTCTTCCGCCTCCTTCCCCTCTTGTGGGCAGAGCGCGGCTACTGCTCACGGGCCCGTGTGTCCGGTCTGTTTCTTAACCGTTCGCGAAAAATCCGGCCCAGTGTTTGACGAACGTACCGAGGTTGCTTGTCTCGCTGATGGCGGCTGCGGCAGTGGTGTTGTTGCTGATGTAGCCGCGTCGAGCCGGTAACATAATTGTGCGCGGTTCCGATGGAACTAACCGCGGTACGGGAGCACCGAAAAAGGTGTTCGGATGGGATAGTAGACGACGGTGATGGTGGTGGCCCGTCACCGAGATCCAAATAAACGGGCGGCTTTCGAGGACGACGGCCAGACCGGATCACAGCGGCGCTGGCTTGCCGCGTGAATGAACAGAGACCGCACGCACATACGCTAGCCACGCATGCACGCCGAAGGAGCACACGCTCGGGGGCACATACGCACACACATGCACACACACACTCACGCCGCACGCAAGCAACCAAGCACCCTCGCGCGCGCACACACCACCCTGACAACACGAGCTCGCGTTTTCGCGAATCCTCTGCTCTCCTCGGTGTCGATCGTGTCTTAGCTCTTTAGTTTCCTCGATTCCCGGCTATTGTCCTCTCCCTCTCTCTCTCTCACCCTCTTTCTATCTCTCTCTATCTCTTTATCTCTCCCTTTCTTTCTCTCGCCCGGTGCGCGAACCGTGCGACTATCTATCTATCTCTCTGTCTGTGTGTGTGTGTGTGTGTGCCGCAGCGACCAGTGGTTACTCTTGTTCCGCGTGTCACATGACACACTCGGGCATCGCGACACGACCAGCGCCGTCCGTCGCGTGTCAAAGGCAAAAACTGACTGCGAGATCGCAGCACGGCCGACTCTCGCCTCTCCTCGTGGTGGCTCGCTCGCCTCGTCGGCGCATGGAAACTCGGCAACATCGCCCCAGACCATCGAGGGAGCCGCGCCGACGCAAAACGACGTCGTTGCTTGCCGACTGCCTGCCTGCCTGTTTAGCTTGGCTTGCCTGCTTTGCCTGCCGGCGGCCTGCCTTGCCTTGCCTTGCCTTGCCTACCCGCTTGCCTGACTACTTGCACCTCGATACAGAGAGAACCGTCTCGATTCAACCGTAGACAGAGGGGAACCGACGGACGGACCATCGAACACAGCCGTCGCACAGTGCTCCGAACAGTGCATAGTAGGCTGCTCGCGCAATCTGAAATTTCAGCTGTGAAAGTGCTGCGTCGGGCAGGCCGCTCTTTATTCGATGCAGTTCCGATGAAAATTTTAAGGAAACCTTCGATGCTGTTCAAAAACTTCGAAACCTCTACACGTTTCTACGAATTTTTCTACAGATCTCTTGTCGCATTTGCATTCCACAGGGATTTTTCCTTTCTTTCGTACACAGACGACGTAGACCGTATTTATTATCGTACGGTAATTTATCGAACACGCTCACACGCTAGAAGTAAATTTCCTAATGAAACAGTGACTTTTAATTGTGGCTTATCGATTTTTAGTGACGCCTCAGAGCCGCCATGTGCACGCGAACGGTTAATCGAGTATAAAATGGCTAAAGATGCCGTGGCTGGTTTCAGAAAGCTGTTATATTGTTTCTTTTCACTTTACAAAATTTTACGCAAAACTGCCCCAGTCTGATGAACAACGAATTAATAATAATATTAATTTATTGCGAACAGCAAATGTCTGCTCCGTAAGATATATCCGTCTCGCTTCCACCGAATTCAACTTAAAAATTTAATTACATTAGGAAAGCGTGAAAGAATAGTTTCGTCAGCTTTTTTCAGCACTGTGCCGATTAGAAAGGATGGAGGACTGCTCTAACGACTCCTTCATATTCGACTGAAAAAAAATTCCAATTCCATTAGGAAACCGTAAAAGAATAGCGTTCGTGTTCCCGACGACCGGTCTGGTCAGGATACAACTTCGGATCCGGCTGCACCGTGTCCTGTCGGGCTGCTTTTGTCGTACGTCGGTTCTCTGGGACCTCTTCTCCCGTTCCCCCCCGCCCCCCGTGGGTGAGATGCATGCGGACACCCGCATCGCTGCATGCACCTAATTATCCGTCCAATGCAGCCTGCCACTGTAGCACTGACTCTTCTTTGGGCCGTGCCGTTTTATCGGTTTCGTTCGGTTATCGCGTTATCTTCCGACGTGTAGGTGTGAGAAAGCTGTGCCGGATTCGGATCGCGATTCAGGACAGATGCCAGGCGTTGTGTATAGCACGTACATAAGTACGCGGCGGATTCACTGACGCTTCGAAAAAAAAAGAAAAAATGTTGCACACAGCTGCGAATGCTCGAGGAAATTCTGTTGACTAAACCGACGCCCGGCTGATAGCAGAATGCTTCCTTCTGTCTGTCGGCGACCGTGCCGGGTACGATAATCTGCCACAAAGCTAAATGATTTTGCCCTGCATTTCTAGACAATCGATTCCGTTTCATCTATTCTAGAGCCTAGTCGATCTATTCTAGATGTGTATCTCGAATAAGGTAAAAGTACCTACTGTGAGAAGTTTATTTTAAAAGAAAATTAATTATAAAATGAATCGAAATTATTATCGATTTTATTGCAATTATATAGATAGACCAATGTATCTAGATAACGTAATGAACTTTGAAATATTTATTTAATACGGATAGAAAAACAATACGAGGAAAATTGTGAACTACGGGTATGCAATTACAATGTCCCCATTTTGGAACTGGCATGGATTTACAATGTTCCTATTTTGGAACGGGCATTACTCCCTTAACAGAGAATACACTTTACACATTTTTAATTACAAGCATCGACTTGAATCGTCCGCTGAGTGTAAGATGCGCTCTTTATTATTACATCTTTTAATTTATGCAGGAAGGGTTTAAATGAACAAGTAATTTTCTCTTTCATTCTTTTATATTTGTTAATAAGAAACATATATACTTCAAACTATAGTACGTTAACATTATCAATTTGATCTAAACTGTAAATTACATTCTTTCATTTTTAAACTTCTTTTTATCTTTTCATTTTTTTGTAACTCGAACACTTTTAGCTGCAACTTCTTCTCCTTCTTCTTAATTTAATCTGACCTTGTTATCACTTTCATTTATTATAAATGAACAAAACCACAAGTATAAACAAATGAAACAATAAGAAGATAATATAACGAAAATATGAATTGATTCTCACTGAAACAACGAATGTTTACGTTTCGGTAGATAAATGATCGAAATTAGATAAAGCGGTGAACACCAAAAATTAGATAATCGGATAAAGCGTGAAACCTTTCAAACTTCGAACCGAAAATTATTTTCCAAGTTCCATCGCGTTTCCTTAGCTGGCTTCTCAGCTTCGCCTATCATAAAAATTAATATATGGCAAGCATACGCGTACGCGAAAGATCGACAAAGCTATCGTCGAAATGTTGCGATGTCAGTGGAGTTCACGCAACGAGATTGCTCGAAGTACGTGGAACGACCGCGTCATGCGAACAAAAGGAGCACACAATGATTTTCTTCGTGTCGAAAATTGGAAAAGGAATGCGTGGATATGACTCGTAGTTTTGCATTCCGAACATTCGCGAACGTCACGAATGCACGTAGTACCGTAATCCAACGATGACAAACGATTCAGCTTCCCACAGAATCGTTTGCATCGCGTGGAAACAATTGGCACGCACTTTGTGCGGCACGCGAGATTGCCACAAGCACAGTTACTCCGAAGTTATGAATTCAATATCGAATGGTGACACCGGGGCGCCTTCAGCCTCGAAGGGGCTCGTAGAAATGACACACGACAACGATATAATAATTTATTTTTAGGTATCCTGTTCTTTCGTTTGCCGCAACGACGCCGCGCGCGTTTCCTCCAGCGACTTTTTATCGTATAAAAAGAGCTGCACCGCGAGATCGCATACGTATTACAACCCGGCGCGCATAAATCTCGCATACTGTAAAATCATCGCAAATAATGCCACAGACGTTCGCCTCGACGACAAGATAACGCAGTTGCGTCTCACAATAGTCGAACAGGAGGGCGACAAGTCGAAACTAGCCTTTATCGAGTTAAACATCTGATCGCAAAAGCCGATCAGTCTCCGAACTTACGTAGACTCGCGAGAGTTCAGATCAAGGTTACCACGTTTTTTCTTTCTTTTTTTATGAACACACAAGCCCTGTTGTTGCCGGGAGTATCGATTTTTATCCCCGTCTCGTCTCGCTGTAAAAATTCTTCTTCCCTCGACATTTTTTCCAGCCGAACGTTCGTCGAACATCGCCGATTCCTCGTCGCGAGGAGTCGCGCGATAACGATCGTTCGCTCTCACAATGATGATCTCTGAACCTGTTCTGCTATTCTCGACACTTCGATCATTTTTCTAGAAAACATATTCGCTCCGGCTTCGACAAACAATTACGTAAGCCAGAAGGAAACGCGGGAAAATGCGTCTCCTTTTAGACATTATCGGAGCAACATCGGACAAACGTTGTCTTGTTTCCAATCGATCTTCGGACAGTAGTCGGTCTGCCAAGGCCGGCGGCCGCCTTGCTAAGGGAGAAAACGCTGGCTTTCCGGTCGAACACTAAATTAGGAACTCTCTGCCAGCTGTCAGCGAAAATCCGACTTCGAAACCCGCGGTTCGAAGCCGAGAATGGAACTATCCGTGTGCACCGATCGAACACACGGGAAATGCCCTACTGCTTTTAGCATAACTCGAGAGACGTACCGTCCATGTTTCTCGCACGGTCTTCCGCGGACACGTGTCAAGGAGCAATTAGAATTCGCGAGCTATGCCCGGAATGATCCGTTGCGTGCAATCGTCGACGGCGTTGAGTAACAAACAAAACGAGGAACTCGTCGGCGCGGTCGTGCCAGGAAACCGCGAGAGCACCGCGCGGCTTCACCCGCCGGTTATATTAATTAGGCGACTTTTATCCGACGAATTTCTGCCCTGGTAAGCAGCCACTGCCGTTTTAGCCGGGTTACCGTTGTCGCGAGCCTTTCGAATCTCGTTTCGCAAAAAGAGAAAGAGCCCGGTTCGTCACCGAGCACACAAGCTCCGTCCTCTGCCTCGCAGCTCGCTTTCGGCTTCGTCCAGAGGCCGCGCGGCTTTATTGGCCAGAACTCATTAGAGGCTAAGTCGCCATCGAATGCAGACGGAATTGCCCGCTCAAGGATAGATCGAGCTGATTTCAGGGAATCCGCCCGGCCGTCCCGTCCATTAGGCGAATTAAATAATCCTTCGCGATCGAACGCCGCCTGTGCTTTACGCACGCGGTTTTCCTCTTCCCGCGACGCAATGGTCGCAGAATCGTCGGCCCTCCGGGCTTCCCAGCCGTTCGTTCTGGTTATTATTCGATGGAAGCTGCTCTTTTAAATGCTGCTTCGATGGTATTACACCTGGCCGTTCGTTTTGAAATATTGTTGCTTGAGTTTTTGTTGAGCGGAGAACCTCGAGAAGTGTCCTTTCGTAAATTAATATTAACAGTGTTTAATTCAGCCTTATTTATTTCACATTGTTCCGATTTAATTACATTTTTACGCTGCATTAAGTTCTACTTTTATTAGATATGTCTTCTTGTTTTCTAGAAATGGTAGATTTGAAATATTAGAAGAATTTATTGAGCGGAGAACATGGAGAGCGGTCCTTTTTTAAAATGATTTTAACAGTGATTATTCAGTCTTATTTATTTCACATTATTTCGACTTAATAACATTTTTCTAATGCATCACGTTCTATTTTTACTAAAAATGTCTTCTCGTTTTCTAAAAATGATAAACTTGAAATATTAGAATTTATAGAGCGGAGAATCTCTAGAAGTGTCCTTTCATAAATTAATTTGAACAGTGTCTAATTCAGTCCGATTTATTACAGTCTGTTTTAATCGAACG